GATACAAGATTGGCTGTTACTTACCTGTGAAGTGAGTTGTGCAGTCCGGCGGAGAAGGAAGATAGCGGCCATAGCCGGGGAGTATCGACACAGGGTATTGAAGAAGAGAGAGAGGGAGGAAAGAGAAGGAGGGACTGAGGAGAGAGAAGAAGAAGTGTGGAAGGAGGGCGCTGGAGAAGAAGACAGACATAGCCGGGGGTGAGCAAAAAAAAAAAAAAAAAAAAATACAGAGAAAGCGAAGAAGAAGAAGAGTGAAGGAAGGGGAAGTAAGCGACGAGGGTGACGAAGGTGAAGGTGCCGGCCGCCATAGCCGAGGTGAAGGGTTGACCAGAGGGTTGATCGAGGGTTGACCAGAGGGTTGACCGAGGGTTGACCGAGGGTTGACCAGAGGGTTGACCGAGGATTGACCGAGGGTTGACCGAGGGTTGACCAAGGGTTGACCGACGGTTGACCGAGGGTTGACCGAGGGTTGACCGAGGGTTGACCGAGGGTGTTGACCAAGCGTTGACTGGGGGTTGCCCGCGTTGACTCAGCGTTGACCAAGATTTTGACCAAGCTGGAGCTGGCGATATCTCGCTGAGCCCTTAGCCTATCCCCTTACCCTGTGGATGTGCACCTACCCCACGGTACTTGCTAAGTCTGTCTGTCTACTCTTTCTGCATTGAGTCTCTTCTGTCCTAGGTGTTAGGACTGTGGATGAAGGATAGGGCCTTGCTGCCAAACCTGCACGGGACTTAGTAGGACGAATTCCTACTCTGGTATCTGGAGACCTGGGCATGAGCGGCGAGCGCTCGTTAAACAACTCGTCTAGCCGAATGACCGGTACTGTCCGGCAGGTCTACTCAGTTCCAGTGTAGAGGGTCCGAACTCCGCGCTGCAGGCTGAAACTAAGGTCGTCTTTAAGTGTTGAGGCCTGGCTGAACCACTCCCCTACCGAACCCAGTAAGGCTGATGATCTGTGTCTGACGACTTGACTGACCTAAGGGACATGAACCCCTCCAAGGACCGGTACCGACCAGCGGGCTGCTCGGTGTGGCACAGTAGGCCGGAACAACTGAGTTGTGGGCTGAAATCACCACGAAGAACCAAGCTGATCATGTCGTCATGTCCGCGACGTTAAAGAATTCTTGTGGAGTTTGGGGGATCTCCTTAAATGCCTCCATATTAGCTCTTGGTTCAGTAGTGACAGCCTTAGAGTAGTTTAGAGTCAGTGACCATAGTTGACAGGGTCTTACCTTGTGGTCCTTAGAGAGTCAGTCAGTAGGTCAGTGTGTCCGGGTAGGTCTAAGTGGTGAGGAGTGGGACATTGTCGTGCACCTACCACCACAATGGATGACTATCGGATGTATGGGCTGCTTGTTGGGTTCTCCCTTTGGGGGACCCTTTGGCGCCTCCTCTTCCCTCTGGGGTTCTGGCACGCGATGACGTGTAGAGTAGATACCCGAGGTGGTGCTTCCACCAAGCCATATTCGAAGGAGGAGGAGGAGAAGATGGCCGCCATTCTGCAGGAGAGGAAGGAGAAGAAGGAGGCCAAGAAGAAGGCCTTGAAGGAGGAACAGGCGGCCAAATTGAAGAAGATAGAAGAAGAGATGGCCAGAGAGAAGGAGAGGATACAAAAAGAAGAAGAAGAGAAGTTGAAGGAGGTGGAAGAGGAAGAGGAAGATGATGAAATGTCACTGCAAAGGAAGAGAGGGAAGTACAGTGGCAGTAGAGAAGAGGAGATGGAGAAACGGATTTCGGAGTGGGTCGCCAATTTATCCCTGGGCGAAGAAGAAGAGGTGGCGATGTATATCTCCAAGGATGACCAGGAAGCCGCTATGAGAGCCTGAGAAGCAGAAAAAGATGTCGTAAAGCGGCAGGCATTGGAAGATGAAAAAAGAATGGAGTGGAAATTGACCGTGATGAGGGAGAAGAAGATGAGAGTAGATGCGGCAGCGGAGGCGGCAGAAGAATTGGAGGAGGTACAAAAGATAGAAGAGCGGTTAGCCGCCCAGACCGAACTTCCAAACCAAATGCGAGTTATAGCTTGAAACGTTGCACGCCTGGCACGAATTCAGGCGGAGCAATATGACTTTAGAAGAAGTCAACACATAGTTGTGCGTTCAATAAGGTTGGGATTCTGGGACTTTGCTCGTGAGTTGGTAGGCGCTATAGGCACCACGGTGGGTCATCGCCTCGAGAAGACTGAGCGGTTCTGTGTCGGCGCCATTGAAGGCGTCAAAGTGGCAGCTCCCAAGGAGGAGGAAGCACGTCCTCCTCGCCGGGAGCCGGTTAAAGTCGAATTCCCTGATTCCTACAGTGGAAAACGGGAAGAGAACTTTGACCATTGGGAGACCAATGTCTAGACCTATGTGTATCTGCAACAGGTCTCCCCCGATCAACAAGTTCTAATTGCGATCCACGCGCTTAGAGACAAGGCCGCCAGCTTTGCAAGGTCCCTAGTTCGCGCTGCCAATTGTAGTGACGATCCTGTTGCGTACTCCTCGTTCACTTCCCTCACTGAAGTTTTGAAGCTGTTGCGCGAGCTATTTTCTGATGTCGCTCGCAGTGTTAATGACTCAAACAAGCTCCAGATGATCCATGCCCGTAAGAGGAAGAGTGTCAGGGCACTCAAGAGCACAATGGACGAGCTAGTAGTTGTCCTTGACCACGGGGTAACAGACACCCCATTGGTCGCTCTCTTCTATAGAGCGATGTCCGAAGTTTTTCGCGGGCACTTCTTCGCGAAGAGCGAAGACCCTGCCACCACTTACGATTTCCTTAGCCGTTAAGTGGTGGCCTTTGAGACAAAATTTGTGTCAATCTCCACCTTCTGGCACAAAGATTTGGATAAGGGAAAGCAATGCAAGGGCCGCACTATCTCTGGGCAGGTGAAGACTAAGGATAGTCTTGTCTTAACTTTAGATAAGGGTAGTGTGGATGAGATCCCCTACGATCAGATTGAGTGGGGGTTAGAGGAGGAGGACAGCGGTGTGGGCCAGGGGAGGACTTATGCTGCTGTCGCGGCTGGAGGGAGGCCGCAAGGAGGACGAGGCCAGGGCCAAGGGGGCTGGGCCTTAGGGAGTCCAGGGCGATCAGGGGGTTGGCGTCACAGAGGAGGAAACCGCCAAGCGGGAGGCAGGGGTCAAGATCCCCGCAAAACCGTCCTAGGAATAGGTCTCCCTATAGGGTAGGAGGATGGCACCCGGGGCTACCGCAGGGTAGGCCTTGGGAAACTTTGGGTATGGACCAGACTTTATGGCAACAACGATTGGACCGGGGCCAGTGCATTTTCTGCGGTGACCCGGGCCATATCATCAAATACTATCCTAAGTATAGAGAGACCCGGACAGCTGCTCTAGGGTCAAAAGGCAGCCGCCGGTAGGGGTAGCAACTACCCCTACCATTAGGCCGTGTGGGGAATATATCGCTAGCCGGCAGGAGACTCCCACACCACATGTGCCTATGGCAAAGGTTGTAGGCCTGTGTCTAGATAGCTGTCCCGAGACTGCTTGTGTTAGAGTCTCTCTAGACACATCCCTCATAGGCGTGGTCGAAGAGCTGAAGGAGAGGATGCCCGCCTGGGCCACGATGAAGAAAGAGAATAAAGGACAGTTTATATTACTAGATACAGAGATGTTTAGAGGTAGAGTAGGGGCCCTAGTAGACTCAGGGGCCACCCGCAACTATATTAGTAAGAAAGCGCTGCAGAAATTGAAGTTGGGATTTAAAGTCCAAAAGTTAGCAGATCCTATAGTTAGTATCCTCGCAGACAATCGTACCATGGTTGTAGAGGATTACGTAGAGGGAGTCCAGGCGTATTTCCGCCGAGAGAAAGATGGGAAGGTGGAAAAGGTACTCCACTCCCTGACTCTCCTCGTAGAAGACAACCTCCCATTTGATATTGTTCTGGGGATGGATTGGGGAGAGGCAGCCGGGGCCACGCTCCATTTGAAGGAGCACGAGTGTAGGCTCCCAAGTCCGTCAGGCGAGGCTAAAACTGTCCGCCTGTTCCATGTGTCAGGAGCAGAGAATCCCTTGGCACATTGCTGCCTTAGTGCTCCTGCGTTCGCCAGATTAGTGAAAAAGGAGAAATTGGAGGAACATGTTTTTGTTGCCTATGTTAGGCCAGTGACTGAGCCTACGGAAGAAAAGTCAATGGACCCTGCGATTGCCAAGCTGCTGGAAGAGTTCAAGGACCTGACTGAGCCGCCGATAGGGGTGGTACCGCGACCCATCCAGCACCACATTGAGATAGAGCCTGGCAGTAGAACTCCTAAGGGCGTTGTGTATAGGATGTCCCCACGGGAGTTAGAGGAGCTTCGCAAGCAATTAGACGAGCTCCTCGAGAAGGGTTGGATTAGGCCCAGTTCGTCTCCTTTTGGAGCACCTGTTCTCTTCGTCCCTAAGAAAGAGGGAGAGTTGAGGATGTGTATAGACTATAGGGGTCTGAATGCTATTAAAGTAAAGAATGTTGAGCCACTGCCGAGGACAGACGATCTCTTGGATCGAGCGCAGGGGGCCAAGTATTTCTCTAAGATAGATTTGAAGTCCGGATACCATCAGATAGAGGTTCACCCCGACGACCAGTATAAGACAGCGTTCCAGACTAAATATGGGAACTAGGAGTTCATAGTGATGCCCTTTGGACTAACCAATGCGCCAACAACTTTTCAACGTGGATGACTTGTTTAGGCCACGGTTAGATAGATTCGTCGTAGTTTACTTAGATGACATTCTAGTATTCAATAAGACCCTGGAAGAGCATCAGGGTCATCTAAGGCAGGTCTTGGAGAAGCTGAGAGAAGCTTACTTCAAGATCAATGCAAAGAAGTGTGATTGGGCAAAGACCCAAGTTTTGTACCTAGGCCACGTCTTAGACGGAGACGGCGTTAAGCCGGAAGACAGTAAGATTGCAGCGATTAGAGATTGGCCAACACCGCGCACGTTGACAAAGTTGCGGTCGTTTTTAGGCCTAGCCAACTACTATAGGAAGTTCGTGAGGAACTTCTCCACCATCGCTCCGCCCCTTCGCAGATTGCTTAGAAAGGAGACCATCTGGAAGTGGGATAAGGACTGCACGTCTGCTATGAAGAAGTTAAAACAGGCGTTGATAGAGTACCCAGTCGTTAAGGTCGCTGACCCGTCCTGCCCCTTCGTCGTCACTACGGACGCTAGCCAGTACGGCATAGGTGTCGTGTTACAGCAAGACGATAGCAATGGTTATAGACCCGTAGAGTTCATGTCCGTCAGAATGCCTTCAGAGAAGGTCGCGACATCTACCTATGAGCGGGAACTCTACGCTCTCAGGCAAGCCATAAAACACTGGAAGCACTACTTGCTTGGGAGACACTTCAAAGTCTACTCAGACCATGAGACGTTAAGGTGGTTAAAGACGCAAGCCAAGATGACACCTAAGCTTACTAGGTGGGCCGCAGAGATAGATCAGTACGACTTTGAGCTCAAGCCAGTCAAAGGAAAATATAACGTAGTCGCGGATGCTCTGAGTAGAAGAGCTGATTACTTTGGGGCAATAGTACACTACCTCGATATAGGGAAAGATCTGCAGCAGAAGGTTAGAGAAGCCTACGCGCAGGACCCTATCTACAGTGACCTCCTTAAGAAAGTCAAAGAGGCCCCAGGGACGGAACCGAACTACCGCACTACCGAAGGGTTGCTCTTTGAGAAGACTAATGTATTTGACCCCCTGTGCATTCCTCGAAGTGAAGAGATCTGTAGTCTGATTCTGGGAGAATGCCACGACACAGAGGGTCATTTTGGTTGGCAAAAGACTTTAGCCAACCTTATGCGCGCGTACACCTGGCCAGGGATGAAAAATGACTGCGTAGAGTATGTTCGCAGTTGTAAAGTTTGCCAGCGTAATAAGACTTCTACGCGTGCCCCGTTAGGTCTTCTCAGACCCTTGCCCATTCCGGATCGGCCGAGAGACTCAGTGTCCATAGACTTCATGGACACTCACGTCAAGAGCAGGCATGGCAAGAGCCAAGTCATGGTCATAGTTGACCGTTTTAGTAAGTACGCCGTTTTTGTTCCTTTGTCGTCAGAGGCCCGTACTGATTTAGTTATACAGAGATTTTTTGACTGTTGGGTGAGTGAGAATGGAATCCCATTGTCTATAGTTAGCGATAGAGATAGTCGCTTTACTAGCCAGAACTGGCAAGAACTCATGGGAGTATATGGATCTAAGTTGTTGATGTCGTCCGGCCGCCATCCAGAGACTAATGGTCAGACCGAGCAGATGAGCAAGATCCTACAGCAAGTTCAGCGCATGTACATTAGGCCAGATCAGATTAACCGGGATGAGATGCTGCCTAAAGTAGCTAGTGCGTACAATAACAGCGTGCATCTGTCCACCTGCCGCACTCCCAACGAACTGCACAAGTCCTTTAGGCCCCATAGACCGTTTGAAGGACTCAACCGAGATCAGATTCACAGATTGTCGCCCTGGACCAGGGAGTTTGTTGTGCAACACGAAAAAGAACTAGCTATTGTTGTAGAAAACCTCACGAAGGCCCAATACAAGATGATAGAGCAAGCCAACAAGCACCGTCGCCCATCACAGTTTCAAGTAGGCGACTTGGTCTGGGTCAGTTCTAAGGAGTTTACACCTTAGGAGAACATCTCACAGAAGTTACTGCCCACCTATAGAGGATCGTGGTCAGTCTTAGAAGTCAAGGGCAGCGAAGATGGACCGTCCTATACCATAGAAATCCCAGCACACCTCCACACTTACCCAACTTTTCATGCATCGAAATTACTACCCTGGTCAAACGAGTGATCAGTTTCCATACCGTAGGTCGATGATCCCACCGGATATGGATGGAAGATATGACATCGATGGTATGGTGGCTGAAGACGTCTTCAGGACTGGA